TGTTTTTTCTCAATGTATAATTGCTATACCTGTGTGTTGATCTGATTAGCACTCTTTTGTGTGTTAAACACAATCTACTAAATATAGACAACTTCATTATAAAGAAAAATAACAAATGAAAAAATATATAATCATAATCTATGATAAAAATACTATTATACACTAGGTTAGTGGATAATTCAGCAGCATAAGATACTCTTAACAATTTTATAAAATCGAAACGTTTAGTGAAAACAAGAAAGGGTATTACTAATCTTTCATTGCGCAAAAATATTATAATATGAAATGCTCCAATACAGAGCGGCACAAAGCGCTTATGCACATCCCATACTGATGCGTAGTGTATTATATCTGTGCGATAGAGTCTTTTCTTTAAACAGGTTTAAATTTCAGTTAGTGTGCGCGTGAAGAACAATTCATAGTGCTTTCTACTCCAGTGTAGTGATCTAACAGACACCCGGTATAAAGTAACATGCTTTAGAAACAACACTAAACTCCAACAAGATAAAATCATTTTATGCAAAACCATTGATCTTTATCTACAGATCAAGTATGATAATTGGAACATTGAATCATCTTGGAGAGAGTTTCATGGTCTTGACTGTCGTAACCGAATGCAACCCACGGTTTGAATGCTGATTGGATGATGACTGACAGCCACAGTGAGTTTATGCGAACTTGAATTTAACGACTTTAATATTCATCTGAACCTCACATTTAACAATGGAAAGCCTTCAGAATATTTGGAATATAGTGCACGGAAACTTTATGGTGCTTTATAATGTGTTTGTGCCTTTCGTGGGGCTTAACAATAACACAGAATAGTCTAGCCACGATATCGGATTTAGATCAGTCTCGTCTGACCGATACCCGATCCGACAGAAAATGGCAGTATCGGAGCCAATCCCGATACTGAGTATCGGAGCATACCTAATCCTGACATTTTGGTGGCCAGTCAATAATGAAAGGAGGGGATAGAATGTCTTCTTTCTCTAGCTCTGATGCCAATTTACAGCCAAGCAATATAATGTGATCAGGGCCTGACAGTACAGACGTCTGCCTGAGTAAGGGCACCCACTTTCCTAGTTCGCTACTGGTTGCACTTTATTTGGGATATATTTACGGGCTTTGCTTTGCAGACTGGCAATTGGTTAGGATTAGTTTTCTGTCTTGCTTATCCACCCCTCTGGTGCCTTTCACACTCTAACAAACCCCTCCTCCGTATGTGTGTAAAGTGAGGATTTGACTTACTATGATTAGGGTAAGGATGGCACAGTGTGCGTGCGTGTGTGTGTGTGTGGTTCACCGTGGCTGTTGTCAGAGCTGAAGGTTGTTAGCGGCTCAGTGGATGAGAAAATACCCAGCGGGCCACACTCCCATACCACATCTGCCTACACCCAGACAGAGAGCGATGTATGGACTTTATGGGATTTCACCCAACACCTCAAGTGGTTAATTATGGGATGTGTAACATGACAAGTGTTTACACAGGATAAAGATCTGGAAAAGGATGACATTGACAGCTGTTAGAGAACAGGTCTTGTGTGACATTTATATTGAAAATTGTATGAGTTATATAATCATTAATATTAATTAATGTTCATAATTGAGTTTATTATACATTATATAATTTTTTTTAATGCTTTTGAAAGATGTTTTATGCTCACCAAGACTGCATTTATTTATATTAATTTATTATTAAAACTTAAAATAACTTTTATATTTTAATATATTTTAAATTGTAATTTATTTCCATCATGGCAAAGCTGAAATTTCAGCAGCCATAACTCCAGAAATGTGATGCTCAAGAAACATTTCTTATTATCAATGTTGAAAGCAGTCATTCTGATTTATTTATTTATAAAAAAAAAAAAAACAGCATGTATTTGAAATAGAAATCTTTTGCAACATTATAAATGTCTTTAATGTAATTTGTGATCAATTTAATGCATCCTTGCTGAATAAAAGTATTAATTTCCTTTAAAAATTTCCTTTGAATTATATAGAGAGTGAGTTTTATTTATTTTTTACAACAAATTTTTTTCTCTTCACTTTGTGTTCTTTATTCTGTAGATGATCTCCTGGAATTGAATAGAAAGTTATTTTCCGTTACATTATCAAATAAACAGCCATGAGACCTGCAGACCTTGTGGTTTATATTCTGCTACAGAGAATAGCTTACCACAACAATGGAAGACCGCTGGCTGCGTAATGTCTAATTGAATCGGCACAAATGGGCTTACAACCTCTGATGCTTAATTAATTTAGGGTACACTGTTACAAAATGAATTAATACACTTCAACACACTCGATTGAACTTGATTCCAGTGTGGTCTGACAAAAGTAGTTATGTTGTATATACAGTGGGGTCCAAGTCTTAGAGCAACATTTATTTAATTTAATGAATTGTTTTCATTACAAATTATATTGTAAGCATAACAATTTAACTAAAAGTTGAAATAAGATACATGAATTTCAGAATGTCTTTGTGTTTGATCTGTCCCGCATTTGCTTTAATGAGAGCAGCACTCGAGCTGCACGAACTCCCCAGGTGTGTTTGTAAAACCTGATGATCATGGTCTCCAGCATGATTTGAGCCAAAGAACATCTTGTGCTTCAGTGGAAACAAGAACATCTGACTTTTGCAAGAACATCTGAAAAGGATTTCACCTGATCAATGACACACATTTTCTCTATTTGATTTGTGACCTAGTAATAGTGCAGAATTATTTTGCCTCAGAGTGTCATTAAATGTTTTATTATCCTAACATTTTCTGTGTATTTCCAGGTTTTATGTAGACAATTTAGACATATGTACCCTACTTATACTTTCTCATGTGACTAATTATATTTTTCTCCTTTTTTGTTTCAGAATCGGAGCAGAAGAAAGAGTGGAAAAGTATGACTTTGTGATGAATCTCAGAAGTCAAATCCAGTGAGGTCTCCTCCTGTCCCCTTCAACCCCTTTAGAGACCACACCATCCAGTGGACACCATTTCAAGGATTCTCTCTGGATTTTGATACCCACAGGAGGGTTGTGAACAGGAAGGCCCAGAGGAAGTGGACAGTGTGGGCAGGATGTGGGATGGACTGAGACTACAGGTGTTCTTCTTGTGTTTGGGGGCCGCACTATGGAGCGCTGCAGCAGCAGCGACATACAGGGGCTCAGGTCCACGGGAGCGTGGCCACCGCCGCCATCTCTCTTTACACAGACACAGAGAGAGAGGCAAAGAGGGCCAGGTGCTTCACCGCTCCAAACGAGGCTGGGTCTGGAACCAGTTCTTTGTCATTGAGGAGTACACAGGCCCAGATCCCGTCTTAGTAGGTCGGGTAAGTAGAAACAAGAAGCTTCTACGTCCATCTCATGTTGTCCTGCTCCTCGTTCTCCATCTCCCTTCCTCTCTTTTTTTTCTCTTAAGGTTATGCTGTGAATGAAAGTCATTGGGGTTTTCATTACAGACAGAGTCCTTGCAATATCCTCCATTTGTTCCACAAAAGCAATCAGTGGCCCACTTGATTAAAGGTTATAAATTGGATTTCCTTTTTAATAACAGTGCAGTCCCCTATGGTTCTTGCATAGGGGCAATGGACGATTTATGGGCCTGCCGGATAGTTACATGGCGAACCGGCAGCACGTTGGCCTTTAAATTCCCACCTGAACCCAAGTAGAGGTTTAGACTTATTGAGTGGGGATATTCTGTGTCAGGAGTTTAATTTCATTTTAGCCTGCATAATCAACATCCCTTGATTCACATCAGCTCTATACAGTTTATATGTGTGCAACATATAAACAGTCATACATTACAAAAATGAGGTTTGTTCTCATTTTAATATGAAATTATGAAGTTCGCTTGAGAATAACGTACACTTGCATTTAGTAGAGGGATGTATCCCTGTTGAATTCACTATCACTGCAGTCAGCCATCAGGGTGGATATTACTGTAAGATATAAGTGTGTTAATGTGATACTCTAGAGGAGATGCTATCATGGATCGCTGAAGACCAGCCAAAAAGCTTTCTACTTTGAGTCAGCGTTCTTGTTTGACCTGCTCGTTGTTGATGGAAACATCTCATATCCTTGCTGAATAAAAGTATTAATTTCCTTTAAAAATTTCCTTTGAATTATATAGAGAGTGAGTTTTATTTATTTTTTACAACAAATTTTTTTCTCTTCACTTTGTGTTCTTTATTCTGTAGATGATCTCCTGGAATTGAATAGAAAGTTATTTTCCGTTACATTATCAAATAAACAGCCATGAGACCTGCAGACCTTGTGGTTTATATTCTGCTACAGAGAATAGCTTACCACAACAATGGAAGACCGCTGGCTGCGTAATGTCTAATTGAATCGGCACAAATGGGCTTACAACCTCTGATGCTTAATTAATTTAGGGTACACTGTTACAAAATGAATTAATACACTTCAACACACTCGATTGAACTTGATTCCAGTGTGGTCTGACAAAAGTAGTTATGTTGTATATACAGTGGGGTCCAAGTCTTAGAGCAACATTTATTTAATTTAATGAATTGTTTTCATTACAAATTATATTGTAAGCATAACAATTTAACTAAAAGTTGAAATAAGATACATGAATTTCAGAATGTCTTTGTGTTTGATCTGTCCCGCATTTGCTTTAATGAGAGCAGCACTCGAGCTGCACGAACTCCCCAGGTGTGTTTGTAAAACCTGATGATCATGGTCTCCAGCATGATTTGAGCCAAAGAACATCTTGTGCTTCAGTGGAAACAAGAACATCTGACTTTTGCAAGAACATCTGAAAAGGATTTCACCTGATCAATGACACACATTTTCTCTATTTGATTTGTGACCTAGTAATAGTGCAGAATTATTTTGCCTCAGAGTGTCATTAAATGTTTTATTATCCTAACATTTTCTGTGTATTTCCAGGTTTTATGTAGACAATTTAGACATATGTACCCTACTTATACTTTCTCATGTGACTAATTATATTTTTCTCCTTTTTTGTTTCAGAATCGGAGCAGAAGAAAGAGTGGAAAAGTATGACTTTGTGATGAATCTCAGAAGTCAAATCCAGTGAGGTCTCCTCCTGTCCCCTTCAACCCCTTTAGAGACCACACCATCCAGTGGACACCATTTCAAGGATTCTCTCTGGATTTTGATACCCACAGGAGGGTTGTGAACAGGAAGGCCCAGAGGAAGTGGACAGTGTGGGCAGGATGTGGGATGGACTGAGACTACAGGTGTTCTTCTTGTGTTTGGGGGCCGCACTATGGAGCGCTGCAGCAGCAGCGACATACAGGGGCTCAGGTCCACGGGAGCGTGGCCACCGCCGCCATCTCTCTTTACACAGACACAGAGAGAGAGGCAAAGAGGGCCAGGTGCTTCACCGCTCCAAACGAGGCTGGGTCTGGAACCAGTTCTTTGTCATTGAGGAGTACACAGGCCCAGATCCCGTCTTAGTAGGTCGGGTAAGTAGAAACAAGAAGCTTCTACGTCCATCTCATGTTGTCCTGCTCCTCGTTCTCCATCTCCCTTCCTCTCTTTTTTTTCTCTTAAGGTTATGCTGTGAATGAAAGTCATTGGGGTTTTCATTACAGACAGAGTCCTTGCAATATCCTCCATTTGTTCCACAAAAGCAATCAGTGGCCCACTTGATTAAAGGTTATAAATTGGATTTCCTTTTTAATAACAGTGCAGTCCCCTATGGTTCTTGCATAGGGGCAATGGACGATTTATGGGCCTGCCGGATAGTTACATGGCGAACCGGCAGCACGTTGGCCTTTAAATTCCCACCTGAACCCAAGTAGAGGTTTAGACTTATTGAGTGGGGATATTCTGTGTCAGGAGTTTAATTTCATTTTAGCCTGCATAATCAACATCCCTTGATTCACATCAGCTCTATACAGTTTATATGTGTGCAACATATAAACAGTCATACATTACAAAAATGAGGTTTGTTCTCATTTTAATATGAAATTATGAAGTTCGCTTGAGAATAACGTACACTTGCATTTAGTAGAGGGATGTATCCCTGTTGAATTCACTATCACTGCAGTCAGCCATCAGGGTGGATATTACTGTAAGATATGAGTGTGTTAATGTGATACTCTATAGAGGAGATGCTATTGCTGAAGACCAGCCAAAAAGCTTTCTACTTCAAGGCAGACATTGCTCCTTGCAGACCTTTGACCTGCTCGTTGTTGATGAAAACCTCTCACTCACATGCTCTTTCTCTTCTTCCAGCTTCATTCGGATGTGGATTCGGGAGTTGGAAACATTAAATACATCCTTTCAGGGGAGGGAGCAGGCACTATTTTTGTCATCGATGACAAAACGGGCAACATTCATGCCACAAAGACACTGGACAGAGAAGAACAGGCCCAGTACACCCTGACCGCCCAGGCTGTGGATCGAGACACCAACAAACCCCTTGAGCCTCCCTCAGAGTTCATTGTCAAGGTGCAGGACATCAACGACAATCCACCGGAGTTCCTTCATGGCCCTTACTATGCACGAGTGGCTGAGATGTCCAACGTTGGTAAGTGCGAGCCTTTGGAAAAGCATATTTGTCAGCTTCTTCTCTTTCTCTGTGAGCCCACACCTGACAGCTTGTTCCTCATGCATTATTCAAAAGAGCTGAAATCTGACTCTCAGAAAGTGAGTCGGTACTCTTGTTGCAACTGTTTTTTTTGTGACTGCTGGCTTGTCTGGGTGTGTGTGCGTGTGCGCATGAATTTGTTTGTGTGCATGGGTTTGTTTTTACTGCATTTTTCACTGTGCAATACATCATGAGTAATGCTCTCCTGTCACAGGGTAACGATCTGATACCCCAATACCCCCTGTTCATAGCTCACATAATACTACTGGGAACCTCGAAAGGCTAGTTTCATCCAGGTCAATTCCTTATATTTTTAGACAAGTTGGTAAACATGCTGGGTAAATTGATTTTAGTGTGTAAACAGAATCAGATTTCATGGAAATTAGCCTGGCTGAAGGCAAAACATTGCATGCACAAACCCGAGGCAGTGGTTTGTATCATCTAGCTTTAGCCTCTGAAATACTCTCGTTGCCTTTAAAAAAGGTTATTCAAGATCAACTTTATAACCTGAGAAATATCCAAGTTGCTAGTCTCTCTCTTATCTTTGTTGTGCATTTCGATGGGAAGTGTATCTTAGACTGTGAGATCTGTGCAATATCCAAAAGCGATCTCTATCATGGCTGATGTGTGATGTTCTTTCTCTTCAGGCACTTCAGTGATAAAGGTCACAGCTACAGACGCAGATGACCCTACATACGGCAACAGTGCCAGGCTGGTCTACAGCATCCTGCAGGGCCAGCCTTATTTTTCTGTGGAGCCACAAACAGGTACAGTCATCAGTAATGATATTTTCACTGGTTTGGTGTTAGTTCTGTGGAGCCAGCCATGCATTCAAATATGCATCATGTGCAATTTCAAATCATGTTTGGCTTCAATTCAATTACCACGGTATGAGGATTGGGAATGAAGAGGGTAGTCCTTTCACGCTTTGCAAGAGCACCTTGCATTCTCTGAGCTAAATTAACCCGTGGTCACATTAGTCCTACAATGTCCCAGTGGCAGTGGAATCCCCTACAGCAGTCAGAGGAGATGGAGCAGATGCTGCTAATAAACTGAAGCTGGATGTTTTGCTCAATCCTGTTCAGTGCTGCTCATCTGTGTGGTACTAACAAAACCATCATATAACTATTAATAGTGCATTTGTGTTAAATGCTTCAAGGACCTCACGAATGAACAAAATAGGCACATATTTTTCTGGTCTGAAAGATGACTGGAAGAGTAAAGTGCCAGTTGAAAGCTAGAATTTTATTCGACATCACTATCCTGAAGTGTAAGACCAAGGTCAGTTGCCCTACTGGATAAAAGCTGTCTGTGTATGACATGTACATGGTAGGAGATGTACAAGATGGTAAGACACCCTAAGAGCAGTATGCATTTACTATAGCTTGTAAATGTAACTACTGTAAATTGTAACATATTTACAGATGAAACTGAAAATGACGATCATCCAGTATATTAAGGACAATACATTTGCTAATTAAGCTCGCACAAAATATGTAAAATATAACTGATATATTTAACGTTTTTACATTTTTTTAATAAGGAGTCATTTATTTGAAATACTAAATCAGTTATTCTATGCAAATGCATGCATTTTGACATTAGTTTAATGAATAATGACAGTCAAATCAAATAACAGAATACAGTTATGCAACTGAATTTAACTTTTAATTGAACAGATTGTTGTAATAGCAATAATTTATACATTTAGACTAAATGAGTTAGCCTATATGTTGTAATGAGCAATTAAAATGTTTAAATAGTGCATCTAATTCACTGCAATATTAACTACTGGAGGTTTTCTAACTTCAAGGGCTTTCACTTCAAAATAACAATATTCGCTACCACAAAAATCTATTCTAACTATTCAGATGGAATAAATCTGTTGATGAAACGTCAAGTCAATTACTAAGAGCTTAAGCATTCAATAAATCAGTGAATGGATGGTCATAAATGAATGGTCTGGGGTGTATCTTACTTCATTTTGTGTTTTATATGTTTTATGTGTCTATAGGAATCATTCGAACAGCTCTTCCCAACATGGACAGGGAGGCCAGGCAGGAATACGATGTCCTCATCCAGGCCAAGGACATGGGTGGACACATGGGTGGTCTGTCAGGAACCACTCAGGTTAAAATCACCCTGACTGATGTCAATGACAACCCTCCGAAGTTCGCTCAGGGTGAGAGAATTCATTCTTCCAGCTGTGAATGTTCCCTCTTTCTCTGTCTTTCTCTCTTTCCCTATCTCCATCTCTCCTCCATCCATCATTGTTTGTCCCCCTCTATCCTTGTCAGGTTTTATTATAGTCACTGTGACCATGCCTTGCTCTTTGGCTGGCTACACACAACATTACTCTGACCTCTGCTATGCATGCACCAAGGGAGGAGAGTTTGCTTTTAGACATCCTCAAATCACATATTAACATTGACAAGCCCTCAGGGACCAAGTCAGAATCTGCTAATATGAGCTACAGATGTTAACACAACTTAATTATTCAAATGTTCTTTAAACGTTCAGCACGAGCATGATGACATCAAGTTTCTCGAGCATGAAAGGCTGGATGAAATATTCACCGTGTTTGTGTATACAGATGAGAGCAGGAACGGGCTAGTGTGAGCTAGCACTCATGTTTCCAATGTGACATTAAACTGCACACTAAGCACATAGATTTTATCTGTCTTTTGTTGCAGAAATCGACCCTATAAATCTCATCCGAGCTTTTGCTTTTTTGTGCACTCGGAGCCTCAGGCTCAGTAGCAAAGGGCCTTCAAGCTTTTCCCTGACTTAAGCAGAATGCAGCATGGTCCCAGCGCTCCAGCTCCTACACAAGCCCTGTTTTTGGTGCTGGTAGAAACCGTGATTCATGGACCAAAATAAACTGTACATTGCAAGGTTATTGCCCACAATGAGTAGCTTAGGCAAGCAGATCCTTAAATCCAGCTCAACGATAGTTTTGAGCCGACTTTATGATGGAACATTTCAGGAGCAAGACAAATGTATTTATTTTTTTAATGTGGAAAGCAGTTTGGCTCAGAGCACAGGTGAGAATGTGAGATTCAGATATTTAATGTGGTTCTGATCACGCCGAAAAAATGCAGCTTGAGTAGTCGGCTGTCTCTTTTAGGCTCCATATCGATTCCCAGAGTTGCTTGCCCTATCCGAAACAGACTTTGACACGCTTCAAACTTAGCTCCCAAAAAAAGTGTAAATGAAAATGCTCCTTTTCTTTTTTGGTCCGTCGAAGGTCTGACTGAAAAAAGCAGACCTCTTTGCACACCCTGGCCTTTCTTCGCGAGGACTTCCTCCCCATGTGGGAGTTATTTTTGTAAAGGCAGCTGAAGCCTTTGGCTCTCAGCAGACAGGGAGTGGAGCCATATGGTCCTTCTGCGAGCTCCAGCCTCAGGCAGGTGTCTGTTATAGTCTTCATACACCCACCCACATACACGTACAGGCTCACTCGAGCACACAAATTTAAATTTCACACATGCACTCCTGTTCTCACCAGCTAAGAGCTCACAGATGCCAGGCAGCTAGATGAAGGTAGCACCGGTATCATGCAGCGAACCAGCTCTCCATTCCCGAGTGGGCAGTGTGATCATGATTTTTCTTGCCTGTGACTCAAGAGATATTATGAACCATATTGAAGGCCAGAGATCCTGATCAGGCAGAGAACGGACTGGTGGATTATCGAATCTTGGAGGGAGACGGCATGAACCTCTTCGAGATCACCAAGGATTCAGAGACCCAGGAGGCAGTCATCAAACTAAAGAAGGTGAAGTGTCTGAGAGTGCCAAAGAAGTATGTGTGAATGCAACTTCTAGTCACATATGTGCGATTGTGAATGGAAGCAAGTGTGTGCGCAAAAGGGGAGGGGTGTTCTTGTCAGATAGTGTTATAGTGAATTTCTCTTGTTTTTTTCTTCTTGAGGAATTGTTTGCATTTAGCTCATTTGCTTGGTCATTTGTGTTCCTATTTGCATGGACGCTCAAATATGCAAGGTTGTGAGTGCAAGTGCAGGACTGCTGGGCAGCTGGAGTGATTTTTCACCATTTTCACTCTGTAATCGCAATGACATAGCCCATCCCTTTCCTATTATGTCTGAGATGAGCATTGACTTTCATGGCTGCTTCTCTCTGTCCGTGTGAGAGAAGCTCATCTGGGCCGTGCTGCCCGGGTTATTCCTCCCCTGCTCTGAGGCCCTGGCTTATGCAGACAATTACACAGCCACTCGGGTTAGGCCGTCCATACCCCCACCTCCCGTGGCTGAGAGAAAACTCACATCACCCCGAGAAGCCTGCTAGCCACTAACCAGCTTTAGCCTGAGAGCCAAAGAGACCCAGTCTGCAGCCGTAACACTGCCACCTGCTGGTGATCCTTTACCCTTCACCCCCACAGCTCAAGATGTCAAATGATCATCCACGAAATGATCATTAGAAAGGAAGCTTACTGAAGAAAGGAAAACATATGCAGTCAAGAATTATTGCTGTTTGAGCTGTGTAATCCGGTGAAGCATTAGCATATGTGACCCTGGAGCACAAAAAGTCTTAAGTCGCTGGGGTATATTTGTAGCAATAGCCAAAAAAACATTGTATGGGTCAAAATTATCGATTTTTCTTTTATGCCAAAAATCATTAGTATATTAATTCAAGATCATGCTCCTTGAAGATATTTAGTAAATTTCCTACCGTAAATATAAAAAAACTTAATTTTTGATTTGTAATATGCATTGCTAAGAGCTTCATTTGGACAACTTTAAAGGCGATTTTCTCAGTATTTTGATTTTTTTGCACCCTCAGATTCCAGATTTTCAAATAGTTGTATATCGGCCAAATATTGTCCTATCCCAACAAACCATACATAAATGGAAAGCTTAATTATTCAGCTTTAAGATGATGTAGAAATCTCAATTTCAAAAAATTGACCCTTATGACTGGTTTTGTGGTCCAGGGTCACATATTGTGAATGTTGTTTGTGTAAAGGAGGTATGTATGGTGCAGGAACGATTGGAGGGGGATTTTGTCAGCCTCACTTGTTTTTTGTTTTGTTTTGTTTTTTAAACGTCGTGGCCACAGCAGTGCTTTTTCAGCCGAGAAGGGTATAAGGAGGGGATGAATCATGCAGAAGGGTGAGAGAACAGACAATACGGCATGCCAACAACAATCAGCTTGATGCAATGCTGCTTCACTCAATAACACAATGCCTCGCTGATACACCTCTTGGGAAATCATCACCTTTTGCTCTTCAAAGCGTGTTGAAAATTAAAGTCGAAATTACTGACGGAATTGCCAGGGTTTTAATCAAGTATTCTGTTTCAACTGCGGGCAGGCGACGCAGGCTGAATATTAAGAGGAGATGTAGCATTATTGTGAATATTATCTGCTCCTGATTAGGTTCGAGTCGGGAGTTATTAGGTGCCAAATAAAGAATTGTAGTAGGATAAAAAGAGAGAGAGGGGGACTGCTGTTGTCAGGATAAACAGAATAGTTTCCAACCTGTTGGAGGAAATAACTGGGTCATACTTGTTTCCAGCGTTGGCAGCTCCATTAAAGAGATCCAAAGAAAAGAAAAGACAAGAAAATGGGGGAGAAGAGAATGAGGAAGCAAGAAAAACAACTTTCAACCAATTAACACACAGCTACCTGGCATGTGTACGTGTGGGTGTGTGTTTGAGTTGATATGTACCCTTTATGTATAATTCTCACTTGGTAACTTGGTAATTTGTGACCGAGAGGTGTGACGGGTGAGACAGGCTAATCAGAAAACAGGCGGACGTGTGAAAACTGGTGATGCAGGAGGACACGAGTGGTCCAAATGACTGGCTGCTTTTGAGCACTGTTTTTTTTTTTATCCTGTTTCATTTGCTTGAACCTAAATTGCATGAGAATTGTGCCTTTTGAGAATTGTAAAGAAGTGCAGTTTGTAACTGAAAGATGTCTGCAAGAGCCTTGATATTCGAATGCTTTCTCATTTGAGCTTCTTTGTAGATTTAGTCTCCTTCCCAAATGTATAACAACAGTGCCCTCCAGTCTGCTTCTTTTAAACTTTTCCCTTATTATTTATTTATGTATTTATTTATTTTTGTTAGATATATTCTAGTGTTTTTTTTTTCTGTTTCATTTCTCTTGATGTATTGGTAATCTATTAATGGTTATTTTATTGCTCAGACTCATTTATCTTTTAATTCACCTTTGGTTCTCCATGCAGTCCAGAATCAATTGACAGAGGGGTCATTTTCATATTCAAACATGTAGAGTGATTCCTGAAAGTAACTTTCTATTTATTTTTTTCTATTGACAGCTTCCATCAAATTGAATAACTAATTTGTTTCCTGACCTCTTGTTTTCAGACTGTGGACTTTGAGACCAAGCGATCGTACACACTGAAGGTAGAAGCCTCCAACACACACATTGACTCCCGTTTCGCTGCCTGGGGTCCATACAAAGATACGACCATTGTGAAAATATCAGTAGAAGATGCAGACGAGCCCCCGACCTTCATGGCTCCCGGCTACAACTTTGAGGTGGAGGAAAATGCCCCGGCAGGCACTCTGGTCGGCCGTGTGCATGCCAAAGACACCGACATCATGAACAACCCCATCAGGTAGCAACCACTTCCTGTAAAAAGAATCAGATTACTTTTGCTTTGGCTGTTTTTTGTCAGTACAGCAGTATGCTTAGTACTGTCTGATGACAGTCATTCAAATGTTGTACTCTTCAGGGAAGTTTAATTTATTAGATACACTTCAAAAAGAGCCTGAGAAAGAAAGAAAAAAAAATATTGATTTTCTTTTTCTTTTTTCTATATATCATCCCAGATATATGATCCCACACTACACAGACTTGGAAGAGTTTTTCACCATTAATACTGAGGATGGCATTATTAAGACCACAAGGCCTTTAGATCGGGAAGCACAGGCTTGGCACAACATCTCCGTCAGTGCTACAGAGATTGGTAGGTCACTCATATCTTTTCTGGGCTTTTAAATAATAGAGTAGACTAGCGTGTTGCATTTTTTTCCCTAACCAAGCTCTTCAGCTCTCCCTCCACCCTGCTCTTATGTGGTTGCAGTGTCGCCAGGCCTCCTGCATGATTTCAGAAGAGACAGCCACAGATTACCTCTTCAAACTTCAAATGATACCCTCAGTTCAGTGAACAGTGTGTAATTGGCCCTAAAATGTTATATATTTATTTTTGTGTGGATGTGATTTCCTTGAGGGGCAGTTAGTGTTTGTTTCTGGTTGAATTCAAAGTTTGTGTGTGATACATTTTCCTTTTCATTCCACTGTCTTTGATAATTTCGACCATCAAAAATTCATGTCTAAAGACTTGAAAACTACATCAGAAATATTCTTTGGTTATGTGGAAGACTCTTGTGTCTGGAAGCAAAATATCAAGGCATTCACTATACCTGATCATTTCAGATAGGAGATGTGAGTGAATCATACTTTTTCAGGGCTGCTTTGGCAATTCTGGTTGTGTCTTGTCACTCACGTCCTTCCACTAAGGGCTACCTAAAGTTTTACAGCACACTGAATTAATGATCAATCTTAAAGGTCCCCTGAAATGCTTAGAAACATGCAGCGTTACTCTATGTGTTGACGTCATTTGAACTGAAACAGGAAGACAGGGCAGGACATATCAAGCAGCCCTGCTGATACTAACACCCAAAAAACGTTAATTTTGATTTCATGGGGACTTTTCATGGAGTCTCTTTTTAAATTCTGTTGTTGTCCCAGGTGGCCATCACCAAGATGCAAAAGTACGAGTCAATATCAAAGTCAAAGATGTGAATGACAATGCTCCAGAATTTGCCGCTCAAAACGAAGTGCTTGTCTGTGAGAATGTCAGCCCTGGAAAGGTAAGTCAACTAACTTTTTTATGAGGACCAATTAAATATTTTTAGCACTTATTAAATAATTAGCAACACTTTACAGTAAGGTTCATTAATATTTGTAAATATGAATAACAATGATATATATTAGTAAGGTATTGTGTATATGTTATCAGTGCACAGTTACCTGTACACTACCATTCAAAAGTCTGGGATCAGTAAGATTGTATTAATTACTTTTATCCAGCAAGGATGCATCAAAAGTTACAATAAATCTATTTATAATATTACAAAATATTTCTATTTCAAATAAATGCTGTTCTTTTGTCCTTTCTATTCATCAAAGAATCCTGAAAAAATGCATTTATGGTTTCCATAAAAATATGGAAGTGCTTCCAGATAATATTTTAGTATAGTGGTGACGTATTGGCTTAGATAACTTATTGACACTTATTTGATCCCTGTATCTATGAAATGTATGACTGTCTTTAAATAGGTACAAGAAACTGTTAATTAATTAGCTAATGCCTAAAAGAGGTCACAACTTCCATCAAAACTTTTAAATTAACACTATAAAAGATTATATTGATGTCTAAATTTAATCAATGCGATGTTCACTTTCCCTTTGTTGGGCAGTTGCAAGTTTGAATGAATAACAGAAAAAGAGAGAGAGAAAGAAAAAGAGATAAAAGAGGCATCCATTTATTTAAAGGCATGCCCTGGTGATTTTAACCAGTTTAACATGACCTGATTTGAACTCTGCTCCACAGCTCATTGAGACAGTTAGTGCTACGGATAAGGACGAAATGGCCCACCGCCAGCACTTCCACTTCAGCCTGGCCCCTGAGGTCGCTAACAACCACAGTTTCTCCCTCAAGGACAACAGAGGTGTGTGACACACAAAACACCCCATAATAGAATAATTTGCACTGAAGAACTGCTTATTTCAAACCAAGTAAACTGCCTAAGGGAATGCGCCAATTAAAAACACAAAATATTTTAGTCTCTTTCCAAACCAAATGAGTTTATCCATGTGTAGGAGTGAGTGTCTGCAGTGTCGCCCAGCCAACCTCGTGTTGATAATTAGGTCATGATCAGGTGGGCAAACTCAAATCAACTCCCTCTCTTATTAATTATGGAGGATTCAAAACGTGGGTGAGGCCCAGCTGGTAGGCAGCCCCGTTTCTATCTGTTTCTCAAGCATCCTGCTTGGTGTGCCCAGAAAACCTTCAGCACCATACTTTAGTCCAATAGTCTTTCCTCAAACAGGTAGACACAGGTCTGAAGACCATGTAGGAAAACCCCACCTACTGTAATGTGAGAGTCAATCACTGGGAAACAAGAAGCCTCAAGTTAGAGCCAGTTGAAGAGCCTCTCTGAGGAGTGTCATTGTGACTGGGTGCTGATCAGTTTGAGGGGAATTTGCTGCTTTTATATGAACTCATTATGTGGTGGCTCGTGGTAGATTACAAGCTGAATTATGTATGCTTCAAAGAAACTGTAAATCGTGTTTACTTTGCTTACAAGGAGCTTTGGTGTTATTTTAGAATGCTTAGTGTGACTGCTATGCTATGATAGTGATAGTAGTCTAACATATGCTAACGAACTAATCTATTTTCCACCTGTGGAGCTGTTGAATTTCTAGTTGTAAAACCTGGAAAATAATTAGCATTTTCAAGCCATCGGATCAGAAATGTCCAGTCGGTTTTTAGAATTACTTCAGATTTTCCCATTTTGTTTACATAAATTACAACCAGTCATACCTTAAACAGTGGAAGCTGCAGTTTTTCTTTGCTAAATAAGCACTACAACTCAAGGATGTGAGTCCACAAGTGCTTAAAGAATCAGACAACTGTAGCTCCATGTAATTTAACCATATTTTACCACAGACCTTATTTTACTCAAAAATCGAAAACCTTTTCTATTCTAAACACCGCAAGGGACCCCATGGCGAAATAGCCTTCCAGGTTCTCCTACAAATTGACATCATTAACTGAACTGCTGTGTTCCATTGGCTAATTTCTGATTGTGCTGTATTTCTCTTTGACCACCAATAGATTGGAAATATCATGAAATACAATAAAGGCGTCAGTAGCTGATTCCAGTAACTCCACATAATTGTTGCCTGACTGAGTAAAACATGTGTTAATTGTTTTTAAAGGGTGAATGTTTACCATCACACATCTGTTTAGGCTTTTTTCTTGGTTAATAGAGCGGACTGATGTGAACAGAGAAGTTGACGGAGTGAAAGAGAGAGAGAAATGACTGTCTTTCCCATTTGGTCTGCTTTAATGAGAAAGGAGATGAGCACTTTTTAGCAGGCCATTTCAAAAGCCAACAATATTAGGGAGACAGATTAGGCTACTTAGAGTGACTGGCTTTATCAGGATCCAGAGCTCCCTTTTCAAATGGATACAGTTTTCAACAGCTTTGCCCACCCATTTATCTGAAGCTCTATTATGCTCAAGTCTCCGCACAGAGGCTCTGGCATCGCTCCTCTTATCAGACGGACGTATTGAAGGCCTGCTGATTATATATGTGCATGAACTTTAAATATTAAGTGTATGAAATATTATCTGTTTAGTAACAATGGAAAAGTAAAAATGCATCAGATCTGGTTTTGATCTTCAAGGTTTTGAGATTGCCAACTGAATTTAAATGCAGGAATTAATCATCAACCAGCAATTGCAATTTTTCTTTCGTTTAGAGGCATAAAGTTGGGGTCTGTAAGTTTTTTTTTTATTTTTTGTAAAAACAGCAATGTGAACTATTGTTGAAATGATTGATTTCTATTGGAATATATTTTGATTTTTTTTTAGCAGCCATTGCTCCAGTCTTCAGTGTCACATGGAATCATTCTAATATGCTGATTGGGTGCTCAAGAAACATTTATTATTATCAATGTTGAAAACAGTTGTGCTTCTTATTAATTTTATGAAAACCAAGATTTCTTCAGGATTATTTGATGAATTGAAAGTTTAAAAGAACAGTATTTATTTTTTTTATTTTTATTTTTTTATACATATTGTTTAATAATTATGGAAACCCGTTTCTGCCACTGAATTAAATAAACAAATAAATGGTAATGTGACTTTTTATCTCACAATTCGTACTTTTTTACATGCGATTGTGAGTTTATATCTTGTAATTCTGACATGTTTTCTCAGAATTGCGTGATATAAACTCATAATTATATAAACTCGCAATTTTGAGTTATAAAGTCAGAGATATAAAGTCACAATTGCTTGTTATAAAGTCAGAATTGCAAGATATAAACTTACAATTCTGAGAAAAAAAGAAAGTTGTGAGATAAATAGCCGCAATTGCCTTTTTTTATTTTTTATTTAGAGGTGGAAACAATCTTCCATATAATATTTTCCAGATAATGATTTATTAATAATTTGATTTGGCTTCACATTGACATTGACAGACAAAAAAAAAGTATTTACATTTGAAAAAAAAATTGTTTATAATATCAGAATCTATATTTTTGTCACACATCATGTGTACATGGCCAATACATTCATGCTCCCTTCCTGGCACAAAGGAGGCTTCCGTGAGAGTTCTCAGTGTACAGCATTTACCAATCAAGGTGGCCCAAAAGCACCACATCGTGAACAAGGACCCAGAGAAGCTCTCTCGGGTTCAAATGTTGCAAATTGATACTTCACACAGCCCATGGTAATCTCACTGACAGAATATGATATAGAATTATAATGGATAACATTAGATTGATCAATCCTGTCCACGGCGTCATGCTATATGAGCGTTGTAGCCAAATCATTAGTGGCCTTCCCTGACAGAGTCACTGAAGGTTGAAGAAAGTGGTGCCAGAGGGAATGAAAATGACTAAACCCCAGGCCCCTAAATGAACTCACTCCATCTATGCCTCCAGCGTGACCTTGCACTGAGTCAGGGAAATGCGCTGGCACTGATCCATCCCTCCCAGTTGCAAATAAAACCAATACCGCTCCCTCCACTCTAACTATGATTACACTTCCAAAAGCTGATAAATGTTCTCAATATTAAACATGAATTTAATATTGGAGGATTCACACCTCATTGACTCTCACCGGCGGCTGTGGGTAGTTCTCATGGCACCTAAACTCCAGGGAATGGAAAACTTTCCTGTAATTCTATTCAGCACATTTACAACTTTTTTACTAAAATCCACATCAGCTGAAGTAAACATTCATCAATGTTCCACTGTTGCTTCCACAGATAGCACTGCTAGCATCTTTGTGATCCGGAAGGGCTTCAGCAGAATGACCCAGGATGTGTATCACCTTCCCATCGAGATCAATGACAACGGCGTACCCCCGATGAGCAGCACCAATACTCTTATAATCCGTGTGTGCAGCTGCGACAGCAAAGACACCATCCTCTCCTGCAATGTCGAACCTTTCATCCTCTCTGCAGGGCTCAGCACCGGAGCTCTGATTGCCATTTTGGCCTGTATTGTTATTCTACTAGGTAAGCCTAATTATATTTGAATATGAATATACAAGCAAAGCAACCATGTGTAAATAATAGAGGTCTTGCTTGGTTGGTTTAAACATCTTATAGGGACCTGATGCATGTCAATATTTGCATTTCACCCTAAAACACACTGGTGTTCTTTTACACTTATACAACTACAGAAACGTAAAGTATTTAAAGAACAGATACTCTACAGAGAACATCATTTATTGACTTTGCTTGCCTCTAAAAACTGATTACGGATTTGTTTCCCAAAAGCATTGTGAGCCTAAGTAGGTTGTAAAGACAATTGTTTACTTAAAGGCACAATATGTAAGATTTTTTTTATTAAAATATCCAAAAACCACTAGAACAGTGTTATATATTTTGCTGACTTGTGTACTTACATTATCCCAAATGTTTCGAAGAATGTTTAAATCCAGAGAAATAAGCAATTTTAACTAGTGACACGGACCGTGTCTATAGTGTCATTGTATCGCCTGCTAATGACGTCATAACCCCTCGTTTTCCGGTTTTGTTTTGTAGAAAACATGGAAACATCAAAGACGCGTTAATATGTTGTGCGTTTTAATAGACCGGTGACGACCGCACAGAGTAGCATTATAACAGAACTTTCAAATGTATGTAGTATGATAAAACAGCGCTGCTTTACCCGACATACTCACGACCGGTAGGAGCGGAAGCGGTCGACTGTGGCATAATAAAAGCTCCGCTGCTTTCCAGCCGTGTGTCGTGCTCGTTCAGCGGCCTCGTTTCGCTTCGACGGCTTTCAGCCTCACCCTGCTTCATTCTACTACGTTAATAAATCATTAGCTCATCCACGAACATGATTTCTGCCCGAGTCCCGTCGGATTGCTTCGGCTGTGGGGATGAAGACGACAACTCCCATGATTCCACACTCAGTCACGGCGTCATCTAACTACGCCTTTGTTTCTTTGTTTATTTTGAATACGCGCCCTCTATCGGCGAAAATTACATATTGTGCCTTTAAGTAATATTTTAAATTGTTAGAGACGAATGCTTCAGAGTAATTGTAAGGCAAACTTATGTAGTCACTTGTTGAACAACTGCGCAATTGCACCTAAACTTTGAACAGTTATTATGGTTACAATTTATTCATTATACAATGCGACTTTAATATCAGGATACATTCGCTAATATTTAATTTTATTTAAACCAATAATGAAAAATAATATTATTAAATGCATGCATACATAATTAAATGCTGTGACTGTATAAAGTGAACATAGAAGATCATGTGAATAGATTATATTTATGTTGGCATTTAGATTGAAGAGTTTTTACTGTATGTTTCCATGCAAAGTAAAAAAAAAGGTAAAAAAAGTTTTTGAACAGACAGTGACATGTACACACAATCATTGAGTGTATTTTCGGGAAACCATGTAAAGTTAGTAACCTTGCACTGAGAGAACGGTCTTACGAGGGATTTAGAATTTTGTCTAATGTTTAAAGCTTGTCAAGTCATATTGAAGAGCTGTAATATAACAGTTCATAATTTCCCAAAATATATTAGCTGTCTCAAGACTTATCAAAGTGCAGTATTAAAACATTGCGTTTATTGGGAACACTTTATCTTCATAGTCAAATCTTTCCAACAACTACATTTAAGAAAACAGTTTCTGATGTGATTACCTATAGAGAAGCAACACAGCGATTCCAGCATAAGTAAGAGATGCTATTAGCATTGGCTTAACATTTGTTTGCATGTCTACAGCGATTGTGGTGCTGTTTGTGGCCCTGCGACGCCAGAAAAAGGAGCCTTTGATCGTATTTGAGGAGGAAGACATTCGGGAGAACATCATCACCTATGATGATGAGGGAGGTGGCGAGGAGGACACAGAGGCATTTGACATCGCCACCTTACAGAATCCAGACGGTGCCAATGGCTTCCTGCCCCGTAAGGACATCAAGCCCGAGCTGCAGTATCCCATGTGCCCTGGCCTGAGGCCCATTGGCAACAGCGTAGACGTGGATGATTTCATCAAAACGCGGATTTCTGACGCGGACAATGACCCCACAGCGCCCCCGTATGACTCCATTCAGATCTACGGTTATGAAGGTAGAGGCTCGATCGCTGGCTCTCTCAGTTC